TCACTGATATTGAATATAGTCCCCTGTGCTATACAGTAGCACTTTGTTATTTATCCATGCTATAATAGTTTGCATCTGCTAATTCCAAACTCCAAATCCTTGCCCCTCAACCCTCCTCCCCCTTGCCAACCACAAATCTGGTCTCTCTGTCTGTGAGTCTCTTTTGTAGATGTGTTTATTCATGCGGTATTTTAGATTCCACATATAAGTCATATCATATGGTGTTTGTCTTTCTCTCTCTGACTTACTTCCCTTCATATGAAAACCTCTAGGTCTGTCCATGCTGCTGTAAATGGCATTATTCCATACACTGTCTTCTTAAAATGACTAATCAGGCACATTCTGGGAGAGAGGGACGTGAGGGCTCACCTCCACTTCCTCACACCAATCTTGCTTTAGGCCTTTAAAATAGGTCTCCCTTTATAAAAACCCATGCATACCTTTAGGAATACATTGCTTGGATAAATAAGGCTCATCAGTACTGTATTACATCAGTTGGGTTCCACCTAGAGAGGTGGTCTGTCAAACTTGCAGAGGTTTCCAAATGTTTGTCCACTGCCAGCCCTGCCCTTTGAATGAGTGCAAAGGTAACAGCCAAAGGAAGCACAAAGGCTCTGAGCCCAGAGACCTGGGATCAACTTCTGCCAAGGACCATTAGAACATCCCCAGGCAACTGTCTTCCACTCTCTGAGCCTTAGTTTCTAAGGAAACACCCTCCTCCAGGGGCATGTTTCTGTACAGTCAGGATGATTGGCACCCCCTGAAGTCATGTATCAGAATGGTTTTTCTGGCTTTAGTAGGCTCCCTCAGTTCTGTTCCTTCACATTCTAACTGCTCCAAAGCCAGGACTCAGATGTTAGTCACCTGAGAAGGCGTACATTTGGTTGTGATTCCTGCTGGATGAATCACAAGCTAGAATCAAGATTGCTGGGAGAAATATCAACAACCCCAGATATGCTGATGATACAATTCTTAACAGCGGAAAGTTAAGAGGAACTAAGGAGACTCTTGATGAGGATGAAAGAGTAGAGTGAAAAAGCTAGCTTAGAAAACAAAGATAATGGCATCCGGTCCCATCATTTCATGGCAAATAGATGGGGGAGAAAGTGGAAACAGTGGCAGATTTTATGTTGGGCTCCAGAATCACTGGGGACAGTGACTACAGCCATGAAATTAAAAAACACCTGCTCCTTGGGAGAAAAAAAATATGACAAACCTAGACAGCATGTTAAAAAGCAGAGACATCACCACTGCTGACAAAGCCACATATAATCAAAGCTATGGTTTTTCCAGTTTTCATATATGGATGTGAGAGTTGGCAGAGTGCCAAAGAATTGATGCTTTTGAACTGTGGTGCTGGAGAAGACTCTTAAAGAGTGCCTTGGACATCAAGGAGATCAAACCAGTTAATCCTAAAAAAAATCAACCATGAATATTCATTGGAAGGACTGATGCTGAAGCTGAAGGTCCAATATTTTGGCCACCTGTTACGAAGAGCCAACTTATTGGGAAGAACCCTGATGCTGGGAAAGATTGAAGGCAAAAGGACAAGGGGATGACAGAGGATGAGATGGTTAGATAGCATCGCTAATTCAATGGACATGAATTTGACTAAACTCCAGGAGATGGTAAAGGGCAGGGAAGCCTGGCTTGCTGCCGTTCACAGGGTCCCAAAGAGAAGGACATGACTGAGCAACTGAACAACAAAAACTCACATCACGAGTGGTCACCATTGTCCTTGCCATTTCAGTTGCCAAATCACTTAAGGATCATTTGAGAAAGGTGTATGAGTCTTGAGATGGTCCAAAACTTTCTGTTGATACTCAGATAATATCCAGAAAGCCCAGCAAAAATACTTGTAGAAAGGTGTCAGGGGCTGGGGGATTGTATACCACAGTAGGAAACCACTGTGGTGGCAGGATAAGGGAAATGCCCTGAAAATGCCCACATCCTTGTCCCCAGAACTTGTGAATAAGTTACCTTATATGGCAGAAGGAATTTTGCAGGTGGGATTAAATTATGTCCCTTGGGCTTGGGGGAGCAGTCTGGATTAGCCAGGGGGGCCTGTCTAATCACTGCATCCTTAAAATCAGAGAGCCTTTCCTAACTGTGGTCAGAGGTAGCAGTGATTACAGAAGAACTGTTAGAAAGGTGCAATGTTGCCAGTTTGGGGATGAGGGTGGCGGAACAAGCCAAGGAATGCAGGTGACCTGAGCAGCTTGTAAAGACAAGGAAGCAGACTCTCCCCTGTAGGTCGTGAGAGGGAGAACAGCAGTGCTGGCACCTTGATTTTAGCCCACTGAGACCCAAGTCAGACTCTGACCTTTAGAGGTGTAAGCTAATAAAATTCACGCTGTTTTTATTGGATTTGTTACAATATTGCTTCTGCTGTTTTTTCTTACGTTTTGGCTTTTGCGGCCCGGAGTCATGTGGGATCTTAGTTCCTGGATCAGGGACTGGGGCCATATTCCCTGCAGTGGAAGGCAGTCTTAACCACTGGGGTGCCAGGGAAGTCCCATATTCATGCTATTTTAAGCCACCAAGTCTGTGATTGTTTGTTATAGCAGTGACAGGAAACTGATACACCACTCTTAGGAAACTCTATCGCCTCATACCCTAAAGGCACAGAGAATGATACTGTAGGAAAAGCATAGATGTTGATGACTGTGAGTCCAAAAAGGATTCAAGAGTTGGTTGGAATGAAAAATTTTAAGAATAACTTACCAGCTTATTTCACCTATATTTTATGTTTATACAGGAAAACCTAGATTGGGCCAAAAACTTCTTTTATAGGCATGAAACTCAAAACCTAAATGATAAGAAAGTATCAAATCATGGCTTAACTAGCATTTTCTTCTGAGTCTCATGAAATAGTGGTTTTTTGGCCACTGAATTGTCCACTTTATTTTTTATTGGAATATAATTGCTTTTTGTGTTAGTTTCTGCTGTACAACAAAGTGAATCTGTTCTATGTTTACACACACATATATATATACATATGTGTGTGTGTGTGTGTGTGTGTGTATCCCTGGAGAAGGAAATGGCAACCCACTCCAGTATTCTTGCCTTGAAAATTCCATGGACAGAGGGGCCTGTTGGGCTACTGTCCATGGGGTTGCAAAGAGTTGGCCGCGACTGAGTGACTGAGCACATACATGTACATATACCCCTTCTTCTTGCACCTCCCTCCCACCATCCCCCCATCCCACGCATCTAAGTCATCACAGTGCACTGAGTTCCCTGTGCTATTTATCAGTTCCCTGCTAGCTAGCTATTTCACACATGGTAGAGTATATGTATATGGCAAACCTAAACTTTCAATTCATCCCCCGCCATGCCCCCATATCCACATGTCCATTCTCTACATCTGCATCTCTTGTCCTGCCATGGAACCAGCTTCATCTGCCCTAATGGTCAGGGTGAGTGTGTGCATCTCAGTCTCTTCAGTCTTGCCTGACTCTTTGCAACCAGGCTCCTTTGTCCATGGGGTTCTCCAGACAAGACAGTATGGCCATCATCATAAAAATCTACAAATGATAAATGCTGCAGACGGTGTGGAGAAAAGGGAACCCTCCTACACTGTTGGCGGGAATGAAAAGGGACATTACCACTATGGAGGAATGTATGGAAGTTCCTTAAAAGACAAAATAGAACTACCATATGATCCAGCAATCCCATACCTGGGCATGTACCCTGAGAAAACTACAATTCAAAATGACACATGTACTCCAGTGTTTCTGGAGTACTATTTGTAATAGAACTATTTACAGCACTATTGCAGCACTATTTACAATAGCCACAACATGGAAAGATGATTGTCCATTGACAGATGAATGGACAAAGAAAATATTGTGTATATAAACAATGGAATAGTGGTTCTTTCCACTGAGGTGTGTATCTTACTATGACTAGAGTTGTTGAAACTAACACTTGAAGAAGTTCTCACTACACAGTAGTCACTCAAGAAATGTTCCTTTACCTTCCCTGAAAATGTTGTCTTGGATTTTAAGGCTCTGCTCCTTTGGCTGGGTGTATCTGGGATTTGGTTGGGGGGGGTGTGCGGGGGCTCTCATCTACATTATCATCTGTCCTGATACTGGGCTCTAAGGCACGGTCGAGACGCCCTCTCTCCATCTCTGTCACTGTCTTTCCAGTTACACTAGAAATGGGTTCCATTTCTCATCCCAGGGACCGGGACCTGTGTGGTTTGATGGCCAGGTGAGAGTGGAATCTTCCCCACATTTGGCATCCTGGCACTCACAGCTCCCTCAGGTTCAGAGACTTTCATGTGATCATAATGAATTAAGATTCATGCCAATACAGGCTAAGTACTTGAGTGGTGAGATCAGAAGAGGGTTGCCGGCCACTGACTGACTCAGACGTCTTGTTTTATGTGTCATCTTTATTTCAGTCACCCTCTGAAAGTCGTAATCGCATCTCTTTCCCGGTGGAAGGCTGGAGGAAGACAAATTCAAGCGACTGCCGGTGAAAGCATTTGTTCTGACAGGGGCCTTTTAGAGAATGGGACTGTCTTCTGTGTGGATTTACGAGTTTGTGGGAGGAAAAAAGTAACAGCATGAAGAAGGAAGGGAGTGAAGGATTAAAATAAGGAAGAAAGGACAGGAGAAATTGCGGGTCAGCCTGTTGTGGGGGTGGGGAATGGCTGGGACACACCATCATCCACCCCACCCCCTCCCAGGAGATGCCAGAGCCCACTGGAGTCTCAGAGCCCCAGGCTGGTCCAGTTTAAATCAGCTCAGCTTCATCCCACATTGGAGAAGGAAGCAATGTGGGTCCCAGAAACCACCTTCTCCTTTAAGCTCAGGGCACAGAATCCCCTCCCCAGGGCACTCCCTCCAAGCTCAGAGCGCAGCCGTCCATGTGAGACATCAGGGTAGGGCTGGTGAAGGCAAAGGGCCCCAAGGGGCCAATAATCAGACTGGCCCTTTGTCTCCAAAAAGCAGCTCACCCTGGCACTGCACCTCACAATGCCCCCATGGGTGGCCTGCTGGGTGACGTGGGACATCTGATCTGGCAAGGTCCTTGGCAGACAGCGGGGACCAGGGGGCAGTGCTTCATTTCCCTGTAAGGGCCTTAGTCAAAGGTGGGAGCAGTGGAATGCCCACACATGCCCCGCCCTCTGGTCCCTTGTCTTGACTCTTGCTTGCTACTTGCTGAGTCGCTTCAGCCATGGCCGACTCTCTGTGACTACTGTGGATTGTAGCCCACCAGGCTCCTCTGTCCATAGGATTCCCCAGGCAAGGATAGTGGAGTGGATGGCCATTTCCTCCTCCAGGAGATCTGACCCAGGGATCAAACCTGCGTCTCTTCCATGGGGTCTTCTGCATTGGCAGGCAGGTTCTTTACCACTAGTGCCACCTGTCTTGACACTGCAGAGACACAAATAAGATTCCACCCGCAGAGAGAGGCTGAAGGGTGGGTGGGCAAACCAGGAGCAGTTACAGGATAACTCATTTAAAATCTCAGAAACCCCGCCAGAGCATCAGACATAGAATGACTATCTACCTGTGGCCTGCAGACTAAGGACCACTAGGTAATCCCACTCTCCACTGCTGGATCAAAATGGCACCAACCTCTTCATCCTGGTTTTTAGCTCTGGCCACCTGCCTCCTCCTGCCTCTGCACCATCCCCAAGAGGAAGCATGTCAGCTGACCCCTGGCTTCTATCCCATTCTCTCTTCTTTCCAAAGACTCCCACTAAACTGGCTCCAGAATGAACCTGCACTAGCTACCAAGAAATGTCAATCTTAGCTTTTCTCCCCCAAATACCTACCGATGAGATGCTCCCAGACACACGAGGGGATCAGCAGCTGAAGGGGCACCACGAAGAACTTAACATAGAATTCTAAGACATTTTTTCCTCAGGGAAATTTCAGAAGCTATTCTAAGAAAGAAATAAGAGCTCTTACTGTAAAAAAAAAAATGCAAGTGGAGCTCAAAAAAGAATTCTTGGAGAATAAAAGAAGAACTCACAGAGACAGCAAACGGCAGAAGGAACAGAGCTGAAATCTGAGGTGTAAATGAGAAGCTCAATGCAGGTCAAGGAATATCTGCAGCCCCAGAGCAACGAGATAAAGAGATGGGGACCATGAAAGGATAGATTTATGGGGAAGGGAGTCTAGGGGACCTTTACATTCATGTCACAAGTTGAGTTTCCCTGGTGGCTCAGTTGGTAAAGAATCTACCTGCAATGCAAGAGACCTGGATTCGGTTCCTGGGTCAGGAAGATTCCCTGGAGAAGACAATGGCAAACCACTCCAGTATTCTTGCCTGGGAAATTCCATGAACAGAGGAGCCTGGAGGGCTAGAGTCCATGGGGTCGCAAGGTGTCGGACACAACTGAGTGATTAGACCAACAACAAGAACACAAGTTGAGCACTAAAAGAACTGATGCTTTTGAATGGTGGCGCTAGAGAAGACTCTTGAGAGTCCCTTGGACAGCAAGGAGATCAAACCACTCAATCCTAAAGCAAGTCAACCCTAAATATTCATTGGAAAGACTGATGCTGAAGTCGAAGTTCCAATAATTTGGCCAGCTGGTGAGAAGAGCCCTGAAGGGAAAGTCTCTGATGCTGGGACAGATTGAGGGCAGGAGGAGAAGGGGTGACAGAGGATGAGATGGTTGGATGGCATCATCGATTCAATGGACATAAGTTTGAGCAAACTGGGAGATAGTGAAGGACAGAGAAGCCTGGCGTCCATGTGGTCACAAAGAGTTGGACACGTCTGAGCAACTGAACAAGGAGCAACACACAATTTCCAGGAAGTGAGAACCAAAATGATGGAGGAGAAGCAAAGACTAAAAAAACAAGTGTTTCTTGAGCTAAGGACATCAGGTCAAAGATCCTCACCAAATTCTGAGTGCAGTTATTGAAAAGAACACTTAGAACTTCCAATGATAAAGGGGAAATTGTTTAAACTGTGTGTCTGACTGGCAGGGGAGTGTCCCAGAAGACTGAATGGTGATAGAACCACCAGTCTGAGAAGAATGGGACTGCTCCCAGTGTAAGCAGCTTTTGGCAGGAAAGAGCTAGCTGCTCGAGGTCCCTTTGTCTTGACATTAAACTTATACCAGTCACCTCCATGCTCCACTTGGTTCTAGCCCAAGCACACCTTTCAGATATTTTGCTCACACAATACTTTGCCTAACTTGTTGGTTCTTTCCATAGATCGAGGAAGTAGAAATGAAGAATAAGTAATTAACAGGTGACCATATCTCTATCCCTAGCTTCCCCTTCAGAAATCTCATGAACAAACTGTGTGAACAAGATAGCATCTAAAGAAAGATCACAAACACATGGATACCAAGGTAGGGGAGGGGAGTGGAATGGACTGGGAGATTGTACTTAGTTACTCAGTTGTGTCCGACTGTTTGTGGCCCCATGGACTACAGCCCACCAGGCACCTCTGTCCATGGAGATTCTCCAGGCAAGAACACTGGAGTGAGCTGCCATGCCCTCCTGCAGGGAATCTTCCCAACCCAGGGATCGAACCTGAGTCTGCCGCATTGCAGGCAGATTCTTTACCGTTTGTGCCACCAGGGAAATTGGGATTGACATATACACACGACTATGTATAAAATAGATAATAATGAGAACCTATTGTAGAGCACAGGGAACCCTCCTCAGCGCTCTGTGGTGACCCATGTGGGAAGAAAATCCAAGGAAGAGGGGGTTTCTGTAGACGTGTGGCCGACTCACTTTGCTATGTAGTAGAAACTAACCCAGCATTGTAAAGCAGCTATACTCCAACAAAGAAGTTTAAAAAAGAAAGATCACAGGAAGTCAACCAGCCTGCATGTAGTGGGGGGTGGCAGTGACTCTGACCCCTCAGCTAAACGACTAACTGAGATTACTTGTGTTTCTCTTTAAAAGCTGTCATGGCCAAGCAGAATCTTCCGAGGTGGTTTTTGGGAGACACCGAGTCCACCGTCTCCCAGGATTGCCATCTTTCTGACTAAAAGCAACTTTCCTTTCTGCCTACGTTTGCCTCACTTGAGTACTGATTTTTTTGAGTGAGGAGTAGCTGGACCTAGGACCTTTTTGGGTAGCACCAGGATCCTCCTCCCTATGGGAGGGAACAAGGAGAGTAGTGTACTTCCTATGCTACTTCTGAAAAAGTTCTTACTCACAAAGTACATCAATCAAATGAAAAAAAAAAGAATTAGAAGGAGGAATTCAAGAAAAAGACGGTGCTATATGAGGCAGTGACCAGCAACACAATAAACGTTAGGGTTGAATCTGAACCGCTGTTGAGAATGGGACTGAAAGGCTTACCGCAATTGTTGAGCAAGGATTCAACAAAGCAGAGGAGGCACAATGTGAAAAAGTAATAATAAAATGGCTTAACCACCGGGAACCAAAAGTTCTGATTGTTTCACCAGGTTCTTTCATTAAGGTGGGAGGGGTAGGGTTCGGGTGAGGTGGGAGGGGATCTCGCCTGGGTGAGGGTGGGGGTGGATTGGATGCTGGGAGGGGAGACGCCATAGGTCCCACAACAAGGACTGAATCCTGACACAGGGTTTGCCGTTGCGTCCCCTCTTTGTGATGCCTTACCTGCCTTGTCAGCAAAATGGGAGGGAAAACCCACTCCGCTGGAGATGGAGAAATTAGTGCATAACACGTGTGCCAGTCACCTCAGCCAGACCTGGCACATTTTAACTGCTTGACAGTCGATAGCTTTTGTTTTAATTAATAACAGTTATTATTATTATGGCAACCCACTCCAGTATTCTTGCATAGAAAATTGCATGGATGGAGGAGCCCGGAGGACCATGGAGTCACAAAGAGACACGACGGAAGTGACTTAGCATGCATGCACGTTATTATCATTGATGGTGATAGGAAAATACAGGTTCAACCATATTTAAACATTAAAAAAAATGTTTTTAACATAGAACTTCAGTTATGCCATTGTAAAAGCTTACCAGAAACCCTTCCAATGTACAACCTGGGTTTGGAATATTGACAGTCCCACCCAGGGGACAAACCTGTGCCCCATGGAGTACTGTGGAGGAAACACCTCTTTAAACACCTAGGGTAGGTGGGTGGGGTGCCCTGTCCCAGAGCGAGCCAGGCAGGTGGACCCAGCAGGCTGGCTGGCTTGGGTTGGATCTGGAGGGTGGAGTTTGTTTGCTTTTTTCCGAGAGGTTGGGGCCACTCCCCATCAGGTGGGTGGGAGCTGAGCCAAGGGCCAACCAGAAGGCACCTGAAAAAGAGAGTCACCCATGAGACGTGTCCCTCAGGGCAAAGAGCAGGATGTCGACCTGTGTACACAGTGAGATGGCAACTGTTAGTTCTTAAACCACAGGAGCAGGATTTGAATTGCAAGCCAACCCTGCATTCAGGAGCTCCCTTCAGCCATTGAACTCCTGCCAAGGGCCCTACTTCCTGTGTGCAGAGGAGAAAAAGTCAAGAGCAGCCTCTCCCACACACCAGGCGGCCAGGTACTCTCACCTGGGAGACCCTCCTGTGAGAGTTCTTGGGGCTTTTGCTCAGGGAGGGTGGATCCAGTGCTGTCAGGACTGGATTTGGGGGTTTCCCAGGGGCTGGGGGAGATGAGGACCTCTGGTGAAATCAACCTTCTGGGGAAGTATCAGACAATCACCATAACAGTCCCTCTTCAGGGCTTCCCTAGTTGCTCATTGGTAAAGAATCTGCCTATCAATGCAGGAGACACTGGTTCGATCTGGAAAGAGCCCACATGCTATGGAGCAACTAAACGCATCACAACTACAGAGCCTGTGCTCTGCAATAAGAGAGCCACCGCCACGAGAAGCCTGCCCACCACAACCAGAGAGGAGCCCCCACTCACCAGACCTAGAGAAAAGTCCATGCAGCAACAAAGACCCAGCACAGCCAAAACTAAATAAATAAAATAATTACAAGTTCTTTAGATCATGCATTTCTAGGTGCTAAAAAAAATTATGGTTAATATTCATCAGCCACCATATGCTGGGTCTTACACATTTTATCTCACTGGATCCTTAAGCAGAGGTGGGCAGCGAGGAGTATCACCCCAAGTTTATAGGCGAGGCAGCTGAGACTCCAGCACATGAAGGGACTTGCCCTCTGGCAGGTGGAAGAGATGCTGGTTCCTCAGCTGGAGTAACAGAGCCGCTGCAGAGCTTCAGGAAGATTCTGAGGGCAATATAGTTCCTGTCTTTTCCTTCATCAATACCTTTCGATTACTCCCAACTAAGTGATGCTTTTATTTGGTTTTGATAGAATGTACTCAGTGCATCGGTAGTTTGTAAGGTTGCAGAGCAATAAAACTCACCGTGTGAAATGGAAACAAACCCTAGGCCTTACCAGGTCTAGAAGATTGGAGGCTTTCTATTTATGAACTGGAGTGGTGAACTTGTTTCTTTGCTTGGGGATGTGATGGCTGCAAGGTGTTCTTTTTCAGTCTCCCTGTAATAACCTTGGGCTGGGGCATTTTGTACTTGGGGCTCAATGCTAAATGAAGAAGCTCCTTTCCTTGAGTCTCTATTTTCACCCCACTGGACATGAAACTGGATGGAGTCTCTTGATGGAAACGAAGAGTGAATCCTGGGAATGAGCCTGCACAGCCCAGGGAAGGATGATCAGCAGTGTGAAAGCGGCCTTTATCTCCAAGCCGCAGAAAGGAGCTGCTGAATCCTCAGTTCCCTTCTGACCTGGACCCTTGGAAGCACTTGATTCAGGGCTGACCTTTCTGTCTTCAGCCTCCTTTCTCCAGTCTCCCCACCACCTTGCTATCCTGCTTTTTCTCTGTCCTCCCCAGTCTCTCCTTCTGGTTCCTCCCTACCCAGTCCTGTAGGGTTGGGAACACCGGGATGCCATCCATCCTTGGTTCTCTTCTGTGCTTTTGGGGTCTTCGCCAGATTGTGACTTGAAACATGAGGTCAATTTATAGTTCCAGCTCAGCACTCTCCTCGATTCCAAACACTAAGACCCTGCAGCCCTGCCTCCTCGACAATTGGCTGGAGTTGATGTGATCAAAGCCAGCTTCTGCTGTATTACCCCTCACTCACCCACCTCCCCCAAGTCCTCTACCTGCCAGGTTCTCCACCTCAGTTCATACCCCACCCGTTCTTCTACAGCGACTTCCCAGGTGACACAGTTGGTAAAGAATCCTCCTTGCTCAATGAGAGAGACACAAGAGATGTTGGTTCAACCTCTGGGTCAGGAAGATTCCCTGGAGGAGAAAATGACAACTCACTCCAGCATTCTTGCCTGGAGAATCACATGGACAGAGGAGCCAGGTGGGCTGCAGTCCATGGGGTCACAAAAAGTCGGACACAACTGAGCATACATGCACACATGCATTCTTCTATTAGTTAATTCTTCTTTCCCTCCCACCCCACATCTGCTTTCCAGGAAACATCTGACTCCACCTTCAAAATTTATGAGACACTGACCACCCACTTCATATTCCTGGTCTGCCCCCTCGTCCGAGCCACCATCCTCTCCCACCTGCCCTAGCCCCTGAGCTGATCTCCTGGTTGTCACCCCTGTCCGCATGGTCTCTGCTCAGCTGCCACAGTGACTGTTGTAACATGTCACATCGTGTCGCCCCTCTGTTCAAACCTCTGCAATGATTCCCAGGGGGCTCCTGTCTAATGATGACCTTGATGCCCTCTGCGGAGGCCTTCCTCTGTGANTCAAATTCATGTCCATTGAGTAGGCGATGCTAGTGAACCATCTCAGCCTCTCTCACCCCCTTCCTCCTGCCTTCAATCTTTCCTAGCATCAGGATCTTTTCTAATGAATTTGCTCTTTTCATCAGGTGGCCAAAGTATCGGAGCTTCAGCTTCAGCATCAGTCCTTCCAATGAATATTCTGGACTGATTTCCTTTAGGATGGACTGGCTTGATCTCCTTGCAGTCCAAGGGACTCTCAAGAGTCCTCTTCAACACCACAGATCAAAAGCATCAATTCTCTGGCATTGCCTTCTTCATAGTCCAACTCTCACATCCATACATGACTATTGGAAAAACCACAGCTTCAACGATACGGACCTTTGTTGGCAAAGTAATGACTCTGCTTTTTAATATGCTGTCTAGTTTTGTCATAGCTTTTCTTCCAAAGAGCAAGTGTCTTTTAATTTTGTGGCTGCAGTCACCATCTGTGGTGATTTTGGAGTCCAAGAAAATAAAGTCATCTATACCTCAGTAAAAAAAAATCACTATGTTGTCTTGGAGTTAAGATTCATAAACTCTGAAAATACTGTTCATGCGAGCAGATCTGAATGTGGGCAGCCATAGTACATGGTTTTCAACTCTACTTTTAGGAAGAGAGAACACAGCAAGAGGTTGGACTTGGCCCCAACTTCTGTGGGTTTGGAAATTCTTCTGGGGGAGGAAATAGAAGAGGAAAATGGAAACATGTTACCTGGGTCCATGCATGGCCTAGTTACCTCTCCTGTAGTGAGCTGGCTGGTCCCTTCTTTTTTTCTTTCCCTTTTTCTGTCTCTCTTCCTCCCTCCCTTCTTTCTTTTGAACTTGTCACCTTCCAAGTCTCACTTTCACAGTTATCTTCTGTCAACCAGGCCAACTCACCCTGGACCCTCAGGACCAAGCATCTGAAGTCAAGCAGAGGAGCTGCCCAGGAGACCAGCTTGGGAGGCTGGCTAGCATTTATCAGGTACTCACTGTGCGCACCGGAGAAGGCAATGCACCCCACTCCAGTCCCCTTGCCTGGAAACTCCCATGGACGGAGGGACCTGGTGGGCTGCAGTCCATGGGGTCGTGAAGGGTCAGACACGACTGAGCAACTTTGCTTTCACTTTTCACCCTCATGCACTGGAGAAGGAAATGGCAACCCACTCCAGTGTTCTTGCCTGGAGAATCCCAGGGATGGGAGAGCCTGGTGGGCTGCTGTCTATGGGGTTGCACAGAGTTGGATACGACTGCAGCGACTTAGCATAGCACTGTGCACACAGTGTAGACACTTTCCTTGCATTGAGTTGATTATAGACCATAAACCCTGTTCCACAGAAGAAGAAACTAGGGTGTGAAAAGGTTAAGTAAGTAGCCTGGAGGGTAAGTGGTGGGTGGGTAACTGGGGTGAGGTGATTTTTCACTGGAGAGAATTTTGCAAAATGTTTGTATAGGTTTCCTATATAAACCTAAAGGAAGCACCAGGGTTTTGTTATTTGTGCATCTCTGGAGGACAGGAAGAATAGATTATTCCATGCCTGAATAAAATATTTTACTGCAAGAATACTTTCAATATTAAGGTAAGAATCTTTTAGGGCACAGTT